GAACTCTAGGGAACACTGGCAATTAAGTGTGGGCAAAGACAGTTGGTAAGACTAGAAAGAAAGGTCAGAGGCAATCTAGGAGTGCTTGGTAGCGCAGAGACAGAGAGTGGTCAACAGTAAGATAAAGACCAAAAAAAAAAAAAAAAAAAAAAAACCATTGCTTATGAACATTGGTTACCTTGTGAGCTTATGGAGAACACTTCCAGGGGGGTCTGGAAGGGAGGGATTGACAGTGGAAAGCCTAACTTGCAGCAAGTTGAAGCCTGAGTGGCTAGTAAGGATACTAAGAGGAAAACCAGACTAATCTTTCAAGATGCTAAGATGTGAAGGACAGTGACATGGAGATGTATATAGGTTGAGGAAAACACATAGGGAGAGTTAACAAAAGAATAGAAAGTAACTGCTTTCCAAGAAGATGAAAAGATCAGCAGGCAGGAGATGTTAGCTTCAAGCTAAACTGACACTTCTACATGGGAGACTGAAATAAAGGAGACAAGAGCAAGCTTGCAGTTGCGGGGCTATGTGCTGAGGTGTTCCAGCCTTATTTCTCTGTGTGGTTCAGCCCCAACCACAGTGCCTAGCACATGCTGGGAATTAATGAATGTGTTAACAGGGAGGATTGTATTATAAATTACTTTCTTTTATTAGATGATATAAGGCCTCTGTTTAGGCACCCTGGAGAGAGTATACAATTTGCAGAGCAGGTAATACAAGTTTAGATTTGGCTCAACACAAGTTGGTAGGCATGAGTACAAGTTAACCTGTGTAACTGGGGTTACAGTTTTAGCCTGGCATAGATGGGTATTTAAGACACTTGAATTACTCTTTCTGTGCCAAGTCTGCCATGAAATTTTGCCCTTTGTATCTTGTACCATTTCAGTTTTCATTCTTCATTTAGTCTCTGCGTCCCTAACCTAATTTGATTGCTGTTTGCTGTTTCCACTTAGTGTGACGTGACTCTTGAGCCTTGATCATGGTATCTTCACCTTCAACCTTAGCTTTGAACGTCCTTAAAAGGGAAGTTCAACACTGATGAATTATTTGGAATTAATCTCATTTTAATAGAGTTTCCCTCCAAACCTAACGCCAACTCCAAAATCTAATGACTTACAAGTTGAATGTAGACTACAAACTTTTCTTTCTTTCTTTCTTTTTTGGCTAGATGGTTTTAAATTAGAATATGTTGACAGCATTTAAAAACTGGGAGATTTTATGTAAAAATTCAGAGCCCTGGCTTCTCTTGAAAAACCTGCAAGGTTTGGTAATGTTGGCCATATGTTCCTTCATGGTAACAATCAATTGGAGCTAAGTAGCAGCAATGTCCTCTCTCCAATTCTGCACCAACCCCTTGTTCCCCTACTCCCAACCCGCTGCCTTCCCAGCAATGAGATAAGTGTCAGTTTTCATTTATCTTCTTATGTCCGGTCCATTTTTATTACCAGCTTGGCACTTGTAGGCATATGAGTTGGTAACCCTTGGTAAGAAAGTAATAGGAGAGCAGACACCTTGTTTATCTTTATACCTCTGTATTCCCTGGCTCTAGCTCAGAAGTTGTTTTTTTGTTAAATAGGTAAATTTTTATTCCAGAAGAATATATCTACTAAACTTAAAATCAAACTGGAAGGAAAAGTGGATGAGTATATATAGAATTGTTCAAGGTCAAATGAAAATGGATATACTTCTGCTAATATGGGTTGGCTTTGGGCTCAAAATTAGGATTATAAAAACCTCAAATAGACTAAGAGAGAACAAAAGTAATCCTTTCAAATGAGAAACAGTGAGCAAATTCATTTATAAATGCATACGCCATATTTGCTATCACACTGACACATTAAATGCTAAGTGATTATATTTAGATATGTTAATTTATGTATTTAGATATATAATTATAGAAGAAATAAATTTTAGTTTTCTCTTTAAAAAATGTTTAAAAGTAAACAAGAAATGGTCATTGTAGGGGCACCTGGGTGGCTCAGTGGGTTAAAGCCTCTGCCTTCAGCTCAGGTCATGATCCCAGTGTCCTGGGATCAAGCCCCGCATCAGGCTCTCTGCTCTGTGGGGAGCCTGCTTCCCTCTCTCTCTCTGCCTGCCTCTCTGCCTACTTGTGATCTCTGTCAAATAAACAAATAAAATCTTAAAAAAAAAAAAAAGAAAGAAATGGTCATTGTAGAAAAATTATAAAATACACAGAACTAAAAAAAAAGTCACCAGTCATCCTAGTGAGAGGTAACAATGGATAAGATGTTAGTGTATATTTTGATAAACTTCTTTTGACTGATAGATACAGTGTGTAATTTAGATTTATGTATGCATACATAATTACACTTTAAAAAACAGCTCATTTCTTTTTTTTCCTTTTTCTTCTAATTTTTTAAAAAAATATTTTATTTATCTATTTCACAGAGATCACAAGCAGGCAGAGAGACAGGCAGAGAGAGAGCAAGAAGCAGGCTCCCCATTGAGCAGAAAGCCCGACTCAGAACTTGATCCCAGGACCCTGGGATCATGACCTGAGCCGAAAGCAGTGGCTTTAACCCACTGAGGTGCCCCAAACTGCTCATTTCTGATCTTGGAAAAAACTGATTCAATTCAGCCAGTATTTACAGATTACCATATGACTGTACCAGTCACATAATTCCAAGATGCTACATCAATCTTTTTTCAGAGTCATGAAAGAATTGAATTGTTTAAAAGAGCAGATATGAGGACAATTGGTGAAAATTATTATAAAAGGAAATGTGGCAGTATGGAAAGAGGACTCAAATTTGGGCTTTAGCCCTCAAGCAATTGTGTGACCATGAATAAATTACTGAAAGTGCCAGGTTAATTCATTTATGACACTGGAGGGTCCTTATGAGAAATAAATGAGCTTATGGCATAGAATGTTTGGAACATGACACCCCCATACATAATACTTGTATTTATTATCATTATTATTATATTGATCAAATTATGTTGTTAATATACCATCTTAACAGGAACTGAAGTGGAAATAAAGTCAGAAAATAAAGTTTAAGAATTCTGTGGATACGACTCAACAGCAAAGACCCCAAATAATTCTATTAAAAAATGGACAAAAAGCCTGTAAAGACGTTTTTTCAAAAAAGACATACAAACGACCAACAGGTATTTTTGTGAAAAGGCGCAACATCCCTAATCATTAGGAAGACGCAAATCAAAACTATAATGACAGATCACCTCACACCTGTTAGGACGGCTTTTACCAAAAAGATAAGAGATGGTAAGTGTTGGCAAGGATGTGGCAAAAAGGGAACATTTACACACCACTGGCGGGAATACAAATAGGTCCAGCTACTATGAAAAACAGCACAGAGGCTACTCAAAAAATTAGAAACAACTACAATATGATCAAGCAATCACACTTTTGGGTATATATCTGAAGCAAATGAAGTCTTTATTCCCAAGAGATGTCTACAGTCCCATGTTCACTAAAGCATTATTCATAATAGCCAAGATATGGAAAAAAGCAGAGTCCATTGACAGATGAATGGATAAAGGAGATATGTGTGTGTGTATTTATTTATTTCAGCCATGACAGAGAAGGAAATCTTGCTATTTGTTACAACAAGGATGAACCTAGAGAACATTATGCTAAGTGAAAAAACCAGAGAAACACTAATAGTATATGATCTCACTTAAATGTGTAATCTTTAAAAAAAAAATTAAAATCCTGGAAACAGAGAGTAGAGTGGTGGCTGGGGATGGGGGAAATGAGGAGCTGCTGATCAAATGCTATAAGCCTTCAGTTATAGTAAGTTCTGAGGATCCAATGTCTAGCACGGTTAACTAGCATGATTATAGTTAATAGTATTAACTATAGTTAATACTATTCTATCTACACTTGAAATTTGCTAAGATCAGTCTTCAGCGTTCTCACCACACACACAAAAAAACCAAAAAGTAACTGTGAGGTGGTAGATGTCTTAAGCTGTGTTAATCACTTCACAGTGTATACATGTACCAAATCATCATGTTGTATTAATATACTTTAAATACATATAACTTTTCTTGTCAATTACACCTCAATAAAGCTGGGTAAAAAAAAAAAAAAGAATTAAACTAACTTAAGATTTTGAGAGAAGTGAGTTTTCTACCTCCAAATTCTGTCTCACGAAACGGAGGTACTTTAAAAAAGTGGAATATAAAATCTGCTTAGATGGGATTTTCATATCAGTACATTTATAAAACTAGGAGCTAAAGAAAAATATAGGTAAAAATATCTGGGTATCTTGAAGTTCCTTGTTTGAAGAACCTGCTTTTGCAGGGGAAATAGCCCATATAATTAAAAAAAATATCTGAAATTGTTAGATGTTATCTCAGAAGACAGTCACTTTATAATGGTGTTTATTACACCGTAGTATAGTTATTTTAAAATTTCTCTCTACCGCTATCTTATCCTTATCTCAAGGGTAAGGAATGTATGTAGCTCACATCAAATAATTATCTACTGATAAAATAACTTAGTGAAGAAACCATAACTCCTATAGCTTTAATTCCAAGAGAAATTAAAAAGGGGAACTAACCCAGGCCTGTGTCTGGTTATAAAATATCAGCACCCTGGGGGACCTGGCTGGCTCAGTTGGTGCATGCAAGAGCGTGCAACACTTGATCTCAGGGTTGTGAGTTCAAGCCCCACACTGAGTGAGATTACTTATAAAAATAAAATCTTAAAAAAAAAAAAAAAGTAGTACCTGAATTACTTAAGCAGATTTTTCATTATGATTCCAGGTCCTGACTCACAAGATTAAGAAGCGTGGGTTAAGGATACAGAAGGCAAAGTTTAATGTGAGTGTGTTTGCACAGAAGCATATAGAAAATGTTTTTTAAATGATTAATTTTTAATATATCCTCAGGCCCTCTAATAGAAGATAAGAGTAAGCTCTGAAAAGAGTGGAATGAGATGGCTACTATTAACAGAAAGATTTCTCAAATTCCCTCTGAAAAATAAAAACATAGAGAGCAAAGAGAGTTTAACCTACCTCTCTCTTTGCAAAGGACAAAAAGGAATTCAGCAGCAATTTGCTTGACTCCAAGGTCAACATGTGTCATGAGGCGCACCAGCTTATTTCTCACAGTTGAGCCAACTTCAGGTCGATTTGTCACATCCCTCAATGGTGGTAAAACCTAATGGCAGAAATGCAAAAACCATCATCAGTTGTGGGGTCCTAGAGTAAGTGAGGATGGTACCATGCAACTGGTCAGTCTTATAATGTCTATGAGCTCAGTTTTGTAAAAATGGAAAAAGCTTTTAAAAACTGAATAGGTTTGCTTCCAAATAAGACAAAACAAAACAAAAAAACTAAAGTGATTTCATGGTTGTAATGAAATTTCATTTGAAGAGAAACATCCCTTCACTGTACCACCATGAAATACTCTGATTCATTTGGAATTTTTAATCATCAAAGCATCTGGAATGCCTTTGCCTGCCTCTATCCAAATCCACTTTAAAGCCAGGGTCAAGTTTCTCCTTCTTCCACGGGGCCTTCCTTAAAACTTTGACTCCTATTGATTTTCCCCTTCTTGTAATTCCTGTAGCATTTTCAGTATTTACGAAAAGAAGAAAAAAAAAAAAAGAAGAAAAGAAAAGAAAAAAAGAAAAAGTCTGTACTTAGGTTTTCTTATTTTATTTTATAATAAAAAATGGCTATTCATTATTGAATATTTTCTAGGTGCTAGTTGCTATAATAGAGGATATACATACATTCCGTATAATCGGTCTCCACAGTAAGCCTGCAAAGGAGGTAGTAACATCACTATCCCTGTTTTATTGATTGTGATCTGCAGAGGGCTTAGGACGCTTCTTGGCTTGTCTGTTTTTTTGCCAGCTCACTCGTTCAACTCATCCACCCAGACCCCTCCCTCTTCAGGGTCTCCTCCTATCTCAACCGGTTGCTTCCTCTCAGCCTCTTCTGCCAATTCTTTCTCTCCCCTTGTTTTCTAAGTATTGGAAGAGTCAAGGGTTGAGCTCTTGGGCAACGTTCTTCACTATTTTCACGGAATCTACGGGTGATCTCATCCAGTTTTATGGCATTAGATGGTCTACACTGAGAACGCCCTAAATTATATTTCTATCTTGATTTCTTTGCTGACTTCCAGACTTTTATAGGCCTCTCAAATTTAGCATGCCCTAAACACAAATCTTCCATGCTCCCACCAAAGCTGTTCCTTCTTAGTTTTCCATCGCATTAAATGGTAAGTCTATTTTTCCAACTGTTTAGTACAAACACCTTGGAAATAGCCTTTTTTCTTTCACACCCCATATCCAATCCACCAGTAAATTATATTGTTTCTACCTCTGAAATATATCCATAATTTAGCCACTTCTCACTGCCTCCTCTAGTATTATCATATCCAAGTTACTGATATGTCTCACCCCAAACTGGTTATTACCACAACCTCCCAGTGCTCTCTGCTTCCATCCCAGTTCTTCCGTGATTCATCCTCTACAAAGCAGCTAGAGAGCCTATGAAAGTCTGATCATGTCATTTCTGTTCTCAAAGTCTTCTAGTTCCCAGTGCTTCTCATCTTACAATGAAAAACAATGTCCTTACAACTCCCTTAGGTTTCACATAATCCAGCTTCCTGCTCTTTTTCTAACTTTATTTCTACAGTTCTGGCCGACACTGCTACAGCCACACAGACCTCCATGGAACTCCTTATACACACCATCCACTTTCCTGTCTCATGGTCTTTGAATTTGCTGCTCCCTCTGCCCAGAAACTCTTTCTCTAGAAACTTGCATGGCTCATTCCCTTACTTCAGGTCTGTGTTCAAATGTTACTTATAGGGTAACATTTCCTGACCACCCTATATGACTAACCTTGACCACCCTATATGACTTCTCTTTTTTGTATACAACCTCCTCTAAGTGTTTTAGCCTTCCTCACAGCACTCATCACCACCTGACACAGTATATATTGCTTTACCGTTGGCTCTTCTTCCACAAGAGTCAGTGCCAAGGGGGCAGGGATGTCTTTGTTTTGTTTATTCTTCTCAGTTCATGGCATACTACAGGTGTTTAATAAATATTTGTTGACTGAAGGAGGAATGGATTCAGATTTTTTTTTTTTTAAGGTTTTAAGTAATCTCTACACCCAACGTGGGGCTCGAATTTACAACCCTGAGATCAAGAGTCATATGCTCTACTGACTGAGGAAGCCAGGCACCCCTCAGAATCTTTTTAAAAGCGCCTTCTATTAGCTAGGCACTATGAGAGGAAATGGAGATAAAAACCAAGTCAAATAATAATTTACCGTGCCAGACCCTTCATGTTTATATCATTTTATTTAATTCACTCAACTGACTTTCCTCTCTCCTTCTATATTGAGTGCCTACCATGTATCAGGAGGTACTGAAGGTGCTCTGAACACAAATGGCAACTAAACCTCAGAAAACTTAATAATCTACTCAAAGTGTTTATAGAAGCCATATTTCTAATAGTAGAACACCATGATTTCTGTGCTCTGTAAGTACAAAGTCACTGCACAGTAAAGACTCAGCCAACCATACTGAGTTTTATATGGTCTCTATATACTGAATATATTGAAGAATGAGATATCGAACAAGGGATTGCATGTAGTATGTGACTACTGTTCCAGAGTAAAGAATCTATGAACAAAGGTTATCACCCCAAAGTTTTGTTAGCTGTGTTTTCTTAGAAACAAGTTTTTTTTAAAATAGAAGTTTGTTGCTTTTATTCTTACATATTACTCCCAGACAATCTGCATTTGTATGGACTCATTCTATTTTCTCCCAAATATTACCCTCCAACAAATTTTTTTCTTTTCTTTGACAAATCTTGTCCATTTCCTCTTTCAAATCCACAAAATCTCGTCTCTTCTGTAAGCGCCTCTCCAGACTAATCCAACCTGGGTCAGTAATTTCTACCACATTCTCTTTCCACCTGTCTAAATACTTAAGACCAATTTCCTCTGGGTATGCGTGAGTTGGACTTAATCAGGTATTAACTACAGGGCGTAATAATTAATTAGCTATTTATATTATTTGTTCTATTTATATTATTACCAAAGTTAATCATCTGTTACTTTACATGCTGCCTTTCTTTTTTTGACACAGAGAGAGAGATCACAAGTAGGCAGAGAGGCAGGCAGAGAGAGAGGGGGAAGCAGGCTCCCTGCTGAGCAGAGAGCCCAATGCAGGGCTCCATCCCAGGACCCTGAGACCATGACCTGAGCCGAAGGCAGAGGCTTAACCCACTGAGCCATCCCGGCGCCACATATTCTGCCTTTCTTAATCATCACAGTTTAGACTGCATCTTTCTCAGAAGGAAAGTTGATTTTTTTGTGTGTGTCGTATATCTTAGTCATCTTTACTTGTCATGTTTCATCTCTTTATACTGTAGTGCTTCTTTGAGGACAAAAAGTGGGTCTTATAATCTTTGTGTCCACATAATATGTGGCCCAAGGCCTTCATACAAAGTTGTTAAGAAACAGGTTTTTTGGGGGCTATCTTGGTCAGAGACAGCAAAATCTAAACAGTTCAGTTGAACCTGGATCTCCTATGAAAAAAAGCTAAAATACAGAAAACAAAATATTTTTCATTCATTATTCTTTACCAAGTATTCCTAGTCATGGTAGAATGTCTTAAAATAATCAAACTGGAAATTACCTTAATTCATTAACTATTTCATTAGATTTAAATGATTATTCATGTTTTCATTGCACTCCTCTCTTCTTCTAGTGAACTGTAAACTCCTCAAAGAAAGAGTCTCCACTTTCTCATCTCTCCTTACCAGTGGTATCTACTAGTGTGCCTCCCATATAGTAAGACGCTTACTAAATCTTGACCATAAACATAAAGGGGTAAAATGAAGCTGGTTCATTGAACAAGGGAAATTCTATGTGGCAGAAAAAGAGCAGTGGGGTGAATGATGGGACCATATACTGAAATGTGGAAGAAGGAAAGAAACAGGGTGAAGGGGTGGGAAATTAAGAGCTTAGTTTGGCATATGTTAAAGACCTCTACCATACATCCAAGGGGAGGAGATGAGTAGGCAGCTTGTTACGTTAGTCTGGAGCTGAAGGGACAGGTCAGGGCTGGAAATATAAATTTGGGAGTCATCAGCATATAGATGATTTTCAAAACCATGACTGCTGAATGAGATCACCAGGGGAGTGGGAGTGGAGACAAAGACAACATTGTCTTGGGGCACTCAGACATTGCAAAGAGGTTCCCCCATTGTGTCCTAGAAACCAAGTGAAGAAAGTATTTCAAGAAGGACAGAATAGTCAGTTACATCAAAATGCACTGGGGGAATGCATTAAAAAAATACTTGAGAGCTATCAGATTTGGCAATATTGGGTTGACGAATTTTGATGAGCACCTTTGCAGTAGGGTGGAAAGCATGAAAGCCTAATTTCAGTGGGTTCAGGAGAGAAAGACGAGTAAAAAGAATAGAGTATGGAAAACTCTTTTGAGGAACATTGCACTAAGAAGAGCAGAGTGATGGGGAGGCAACTTGAGAAGTATAATTGAGGGAAGGTTTTTTGTTTTGTTTTTAAGATGGAAGGTGTGTTTGGGTGAAGGCAGAAATGACCTAGCACGTTAAAAAAAAAAAAAAAAAGATTAATTCAAAAAGAGAGGAAATAAACGCAGGAGAAAAGTTCCCGAGAAGACAAGAAGGAAAGGAATCCAGGACACAAGTGCAGAGGCTGGTCACAGAAGAAAGCAGGGAAAACTCACCCATTATGATAGAAGGGGAGACAAAGATAAATCATAATGGCAGATGGAAAGAATTCTTACCATGAACTCTACCATCCTACGCCAAACCTTCACCATCAGCTCTCTTTTCAACTGGCCTCCTTGCATCTACTCACATCCTCCTAGTCTATCCTATATATAGCAGCCAGAGTATTTTAAAATATAAATGGCGTCCCCTTCATCTAATTCCCCTTCTCAAAAGGGTTCAGTGCTTTCCCATCTCACTTAGAAGGGCATCAAAAGTCCTATACAACCTTAGGCATCTGGTTCTTACTTACCTTTTTTTAACTTCATCTACCACTCTCCTTGCCAGTTTGGTCTAGCCTCCTTGCTCTTCCGTAAGCACACCAAACCATCCTCTCACCTCAGGGACTTTGATCTTGTTCTCTTTACATTCCTCTTCCAGGTTTTCTCAGAGATCCTTTTCTTATCAGTTTCTGCTCAAATGTCATTTTCTCACAGAGGCCCTCCCTAGTCCCCTAAGTCTCCCCTTCTCCTTTTTTTAGAACACATCTCTACATGCCATTATAACATATATATATTCATTTCCTTTTTGTTCTGCCATTGTAAGGTAAACTCTGTAAGGCAAAGACATCATCTTTCAGTGCTTAGAAGACAGCACAAAGTAGATCTAAAATGTTTGTTGAATAAATGAATGAATGACTCAGAAAAATACAAAGGGTCACGTTTTTCTGGATTATGAAGATTTCAAAGACTAAAACTAACTTTTCGGAGTTTCTGATTTTATGAAAGAAAACCATTATGAAAGAATGCAACTCATTAATTCTACTTGTAAAAGCCACATATAAGAAGATTAACTATGAGGTGTAATTTGCATTAAGCAGTTACCTGATCTTTGAGAAATTTTCTGATGTTTCGATGGGCTCGGGAACATTCTGTTAATAAGCTGAGAACTGGAGTTAGACCTTCTCTATAGCTGCTTCCCTATAAAGAAAACCAGACATACTGTATTAGTTTCTAACAGTATTACTTTCCTCTGTATAACTGAGCATGTTACTACTCCTTTTTCGAGGGAAAGACAGTTTATGTTATTAAAGCAACATAAGCTTCCATTCCATCACTTAACTTCATGTTTATTAATGTCTGGGTTTTTTTTTAAGATTTTTTATTTACTTATTTGACAGACAGAGATCACAAGTAGGCAGAGAGGCAGGCAAAGAGAAAGGAGGAAGCAGACCCTGGGATCATGACCTAAGCCAAAGGCAGAGGCTTTAACCCACTGAGCCACCCAGGCACCCCTTAATGTCTGTTTTTATCCTCCCTGGATTTTCCTACATTGGGCTTAAATGAATCAAAGGTTTTGATGACCCACCCACACTACCTTGCTACCTTTTAATATAATTAACCTGAAAAAACAAGTGAGAGATAAGAAAATAAGCAACTCACAACAAATGAAAAGTTGATGATTTTTTTAAAAGATAGCCTTTTGGTATTATGGAAAGAATTTATCATCAAGTTTTTTGGGGGGATAATTTTTACTTCTAGGTCTTACAAAATACCTACATGGAAAAGTAATTAATTTTTCCTTCACTTTCAGGCACGAGTCATAGCTTTAGTCTTGGATCAACAAAATTTTTGGCTTTAAGCAAATAAATTTGGTTCTTGCAATTAATTATATACTGTAATAAAATGATTTCTAGGATATAATTATGTAAAACATCAGCTACTTAAAAAAGCTTTTATTTAAAAATCATGTCCTTGTGATGTCTGCACATATGGCACATTGACATTCTTTAGAAACATCTTCCCAAGGCCTCCCGTTTTATCAGTCTTACCTTGTCTATTCTCTTCTCCATAAAATTGAGTAAAACATGAATGGCTTCCATATTCATGCCATTGTATACCATGGTATTCTTTTTCAAAACAGTTTCTTTCTCAGCTGTTTTATCACTGGGCAGTTCATCTAGTGTCGTTGCCTCTTGGGCTGTTTCTTCATGGGTTAATGGACAAATGAGAACATCCAAACAAGAGACTGGAACATTGCTTAAAAGGTTGACTGCATTGCTGAAAAGCAATTTAAAAATACAATATTTTAATTTCATTGAATAGTCTTTGAAAATGCAAACATAAGAAGAAGTTCAGAAATGACTTCTAGGAGTCAATTAAAATTTTTCTTTTTCAAAACAAGCCTTTAATATTACTTGGCATTTACTGACTAAGAGACAGAAAATAAAGAGAACTGTTTTAAATACACATATGACAAATTAGAAAGAACAGATGTTAAATGGACACACACAATCACATGATGTCATGTCACTTTCTGAAATGCTCAAATAGGAATTAGCTTTAACACCAGCTCTTTAATTTTACTATGACACAATGCTAGCTTTATATTTTTTCCCTGGGGTTTTAAATCCTTTTGTGGAGCCACTGGTGTTTTATTATTCCTTAGATTATAACATAAAGCATTTGAGAAGCTGTATATAAGCAGCTTATCCCAGGCAACAACATTAAAAACCAAATATTATAGGATTAAGTTTTGTTCTTTCTGGACATAAAAAATACAATTTTTAGATCATCCCATTTTTAAAAAGACATTAGCAGAAAATGGGTAATGGTGCTTTTTCTCCTTTTCTCATCACCAGGTCTCTTTAAAAGAGCCCAATATAGCCATTTCAAATCTTTATCCCGTAGGCCTTTCTGCTATGTTGTTTTCACAGGCACCTGGGATGCACACCAGTAGGGGGAACCCAAACCTTGTGTTTTTGGTATTCCTTAAAAATCTTGTTCTGTTGCTCAGTGTGTAAGAGATTAAAGTGACACTAATAATTTTAAAATTAGATATGTTCTCAATTAACAGATTTTCCTTCAGGCATTATTTCACATTCTTTCATCTAAAAGGAGGTTGTGTTCTCTGCTAACTGGATCTCCTAAGCCTGTGCCTCAGAACTTCCTGATAAACAACAATGGAAAGACAGGCATTACATTTCCTAGTGACAGAGAAGCAGATCTAAAAATAACCACATCCTGACTAAAAATAAACTCTTGCAAATGCAATGGAGAAGTCTATCCACTTGGAAACCAAACTCAGGGCTTAATCTATCTGATGCTGTCTTAATTTAGACCATAGTAGTTCTTTTTAATTTAGTTTATAATGGTACCCTCAAAAATAAAACAAAGTAAGCAACAACAAAACAGAAATAATATATACATTTGTTTTCTTTCTCTCAGTCTGAAGTGTAGTCCTCATTTTTCCAAGAATGAGTATTTCCTTCCTTTCTTTTTATATCATGGAAAAAAATATTTATAAGAAACCAAAGGTTAAAAATTAGACAGTGCAGAACAATGAGTAGTAATGTAAAAGGTATCAAAACAATCTGAGCCACAAGCAAAAATAACAAGTCCTATGGATGAATGAGTCCTGGCAGAATACAAGTTATTTGAAGGTCCCCATGAAAAATCTGTTGCTGCTGCTGTGATTACTACCTGCTACTGTTAAACGATGGCCCTAATTTTGGTTATTCATAGAAAAAAAAAATCACAATTGGTTGAAATACAATCTTTCCCCACAAACTTTCTTTTAAAAATTTTTGCAAACCTCTGTAGTTCCTTATCTAGACTTAAAAATGTTTCACTTCTGACTTAAGCATTTGGAAACTGTTACTAAATATCACAGATTCACTGGGGATGAAAACAAATAAAACAAAAGAACTCTACCATAGAATTACTTTCTACAACTGTATAAACCATTTTGAAATGTTAGGATTTTTTTTCAACACATAAGGCAATAGGCACTGAAGTCCACTGATAGCATGATTCTCTAAATGCACCAGAGACCACACTGAAAAGTTTAAAACGTTGCATTTCATTACAAAGGAATGTTTCCCTTTAAATTCATTTAAAATAAGCAGTTTCTAGGAATCTGGTAAATTTAAGAAACCAAATGTAGAGTTTGATTCAACAAATATTTGGAGGTTTTAGGCTTTTCAAGGAAAGTTCCCATTTTCACTTGTCTTATTAAACAGCTGGGTTTCCAAACAACTACAAAATTAATTTTCTGGCTCACTGTGTTTGAGCTATTCTTTTTAAGGAAGGAAGGCCCGCTTTTTGAGCTCTGTCACTTCTCTGACAGTTTTATTTGTGGTAGAAGAGTGTATGAAATTCTCCAGCTACCAGGAAGTCAGTGACTATGCACAGATCCGCACAATGGTGTTTGCATTCCTACTCCAGGGGGTAGAAATACTGTGTATATTACTCTCCCCTTTTCAGCTTCCTAGAGATCATTAATCACTGGGACATGACATCCTCCTACTCATGCTCCCAGCCCCCTCCTGATATGCAGATTCAAAAGCAATGCCTATTTAGAACTCCTTAATGCCCTGATTAAAGCCTTGTTAGTTGTGGGGGAGGGGAGGCAATCTAAAAATACAGTCCTGTATCAATCATTGGACTAAACATAATTTAATACCAAATGACAATGAGGAACATGATAATGCTACATGGAGACCTATAGCCATTAACAAATCTTCCTGGTTCAAATATATCTTCTTTATTTGGGGCTCACATATCTTTTCTTTATGGCTGAGAACTTACTTAAATGAACCTTCAGATCTCCAAAAGACTTCCTCCAAAAGATGTAAATTCCTAACTTTAGCTTGATTCAGTAATTATTTATTATTTGTGTCAGGCATTGTTTTATGAAGAAAAGAGACAAATCCCTGCCTTTGGGGAGCTTATTTTCCAGCATGGAGAGGATAGTCAATGAACAGTAAACAAAAGAAATAAGATCACTAAATAGCATGATAGAAGGTGATAAGCGGCCTGGTGGAGAAACCCAGGAAAGTAAGATAGAACAGGTGGGTTATAATTTTGAATAGAGTGATTAGGCTAGACCTCACTAAAATGGGACATTTAAGTAAAGAAATGAAGTGAGGTAGTGAGCCATGTGACAATGTGGGGAAAGAACATTTGAGAAAGAAAAGCAAGAGCAAAGGCTCCAAGGTAGAAGCAGTGGCATAAATGAAGAACTGTAAAGAAGTTGGTGTTGCCAAACCACTATATATAGGAAAAGGAGTAGGACAGGAGATCAGGTATGGCCAGATTGGTCTTGCAGGCTCTTAAAATTTAATTTTATGCTCAGTGAAGTAGGAGCCACTCTAGGGTCTTTCATGGTGATATACTCTGATTTACCTAAAAAGAGTCATTCTGACTACTGCATTGAGAAAAGAATGGCAGGACATCAAAGGTGAGAAGAATCAGGATATCACTATAAAATTCAGGTGACTGAGTATGATGATAATAGTGAAGCGGTTACATCCGGATACATTTTGAAAGACATTGACAGGCCAGTTGTGAAGTGTGAGAATCCAAGTTCAAGCCTTAGCAAGTGGAAAGCTGGAGTTTCCATAAACTGAAATGGAAAACACTGCAGGAGAAGCAGCTTTTCAGGGGAAGACTAAGAATTTAATTTTGGATATGTTAAATTTGGGATATCTATTAGACTTCCAAGGGGAGATGTTAATAGGAAGTTAGTGGCAAGAGTCAAGTTTGGAGAGGGAGATCTGGATTAGAGATAGAAGCTAAGAGATCATTAGCAGATAGATGGTGTCTGAAGACAACAGGTTGATTAAATTAGAGAGGGAATGCGTGTGAACTAAAAAACTGTGAGGGCTGAACCTGGGGCACTCTATTGTCTGGAAGCTGAGGAACTGAGGAAAAAATTACAACTAGTGAGGTAGGAGGAAAACCAGGATAGTATGGTATCCTGGAAGAAAGTACATACACAAAAGTGGGGTGTCAAATGATGTGGGACCGATCAAGTAAGATGACAAGAAGTGTCCACTGGGTTTTGCAAAATGGAAGTTACTAGTGACCTTAGTAATAGGCATTCTGGTGGAGCCAGGGCTCTAAAGCCCAAGTAGTTAAAATTCGAGAACAGTAGAAGAACCAGATAGTTAAGATAAGACTGGAGCCACTGCAGGTGAGAAGTGTCCAGAAAACTTTGGATAAGATATGATGAAAAGACTCCTGAATGCTGCTCTCAGCAAAGCATAGCTTTTTAACCCACAGTGACCTGGTCATTGTTCTCTAAATACGCCATAGACACAAACTCTTTTCTGTATTTGGCCATGGGTTCTCCTGCCTAGAAGAATATTCTCATTCTTTAAGACTAGCTTAAACATCACTTCATTCTCAACTTACTATGCCTTGTGCTAGGCCCTAAGTATACTGTGTAAAGCAAAGGACAAGGCAGGGAGGGGCCTTGGTAGACAATGAGACCAGAAAAGTACATGTATGTCTGTGGGGAGTGGGGTAGGAGTATTATAAAGGGGACTGCCGTGATAAGATGTAAGTTATAGCCAGATGGGTTACTGATGACCTTAAACCAGAGTTATTCTGGCAAAGAAAAAGGTACAGAAGCCAGGGAAACATAGATTTCCCTGATAAGGAGGCAGATTATTAATAAATGCAAAATGACAATACAAGTTTGCTCTTGAACATAAAGAGAGAGGGGAGCCAACGAGGATTCTAAGCAGAGATCTTCTTTCTGAGAAACAACTCTAAATGCAGTGGAGAGGATGGATCAAACTGTTGGGTTAGGTAAAACTGTCCCACGGGTCAGGGAAGCCTGAGTTTAGAAGTAGAAAAAGAAGGTGGTCTGACAGATCTGGGGTTGGGTGCTTCAAGACTAGCAAGACATGACAATGAGGGCATACAGATAGGTTGAAATGATGAACCAATGCTTTAGAATTAGAAAGGAAAGAAGGTAAACCCATAGAGGGCTCATAGGTAGGAGAAACGGGAATCACCAGGAGACCAGAGGTCTGGATGAGGATGGAGAACAGCTATAGATAGTATAAGTAAGGAAAACTTCACTCATCATGTTAGACCACAGTGAGCTAGTCTTTTAAATTCTATTAGCAATTATTATTTTTTAAAAAGATTTTATTTATTTGACAGAGAGATCACATGTAGGCAGAGAGGCAGGCAGAAAGAAAGGGGGAAGCAGGCTCCTCATTGAGCAGAGAGCCCAATGCGGGGCTCGATCCCAAGACTCTGAGATCATGGCCTGAGCCAAAGGCAGAGGCTCAATCCACTGAGCCAGCAGGCGCCCCTCAGGCGCCCCTCTATTAGCAATTATTATTTGGATAATTAAGTCACTGGGAAACTACTCAAAAACTATCTTGTGATAGCTCTTCTATTATGGTGTTGGATTATTTTTAACTTTTCATAATATTTATGTCTTGTCTCCTCATTTAGACTTTACGTTTCTCCAGAGTATGCACTGTGGATATCTCTCCACGTAGGTAACGGTTATTCACAGTAAGAATCAGGTTAAAGAGCTAGGAGCTTTAATGATAACAAAAAATAAAATAAGAACCCCCTTCTGCAATCTCTCCAAAGTAAACTCTCTTGTTTTCTGTATACCTACATAAGCTTGTCCACGTCTTACACAACACTCATCAAAATAACTGTACTTATTTACTTACATGTCTGTTTTACCCCCTAGCTGGTAAGCCCTGGAGAACACAGATTATACTATATTCATCTTTGTTGTCCTTAAGTTCCACATAGTGCCTAGCATATAGTAAGTGCTCAGTTAATAAGTAGAAACCAAAAATGATATCATCCAGTTTTCAATCTTCTAACAAAAAAAATTTTTTATTGAAGTATAGTTGATATACAATGTTATATTAATTTCAGTCGTACAATAACATAGCGATTCAACAATTCTATACATTACTCAATCTCAGTGTTCACCACAATAAATGTAGTTACCACCTGTCACTAAATAACATTATTACAATATTACTGACTTTATTCCCTATGTTGTACTTCTCATCTCTGTGACTTATTTATTGTAAACTAGAAGTTTGTACCTTTTAATCCCCTTCACCTGTTTTAACCGTTCCCGCATCTCCTCTCCCCTCAATTTTCAAACATTAATTAAAAGTTGGTCATGTGTTAGACATTATGCCTAGCTAATGATGTGGTGGTAATCATTTCACAATATGTAAATCTATCAAATCAACAACATTGTATACCTTAAACTGAAACAATGTGATACGTCCACTGAATCTCAATAAAGCTGGAAAAAAAGACATTGCTTAGGATTGTAATGAGGTATCATTAGGTACTAAATTGTCTCCAGTATATGAGATATATTAGTCTAAGCAAAGAAACAACAAAAAAGGCAGGGAGATAAGTACTTTTTAAAGACACACAGGCTCTTTGAGCGTGGGGGAAAATAAAGAGAGAAAGCATTTTGTAGATGCCAGTGTGCTAAGTGAAAGAAATGAGTTGAGAGGCTAAAATAAATTAAATCAGATCTGGTCCTCCACTCTTCTCACCCCTCTAGCATTTAGGCCATTCCCATTTCCCCCTTCTCTCTAAAATAAAACAAAACCACAACCATATCCATATGGAATTGTTTTTGGCAGTGTATGCATAAGTTAACTGATTATGGACAAGAGGGTTGAAAATACTTTCAGTAAGATAACAGAGATGAACCGAATTAGGATGTCCTTTAATGTATCAAAAAAGATGACTCAAACCAACAATTTACTTGTTACTTTAAGTATAGACAAAAGGAAATGAAATAAGTAGATTTTAAAAACTATCTAAGATGCTGATTAGTGGAAATAAAGGTTAAGGTCAACTGTCTATGTGAGCTAACTCATTTTATCTCTATGTCCCTGTCCTCTTGATTGCTCTGGGGGTGGGGAAAAAAAGGAGACCGCACATCAGAAAAAGCTGTGGCCTAGCCATGTTTCTCCTCACTTGTCTCCTGAAGGAGCCTAGTAGACTCCTGGCATGCACGTATCATAGAACATCCCTGGCTTGAGAAAAACAGATGAATGGAAAATAGATTTCTCTACATGATCACAGGATATACATAAAAATCCTAACAAAATATCAAAATCAAAAACAACTTTTAAAAATATATCTGGAACTAAGTATTGGACCTAAAAGCCAGTGTGCTTATTGTAATAACAGTAAAAGAAGTGGCGGTGGCAGCAGTGTGACCACAGAGGTGACAGCAGCTCGTACACTTGCTGAGTGCTTCCTCGGTGCAGGGACAGAGTGCTTTATTAATTTCTCATTTAATTGTTACCACAACTCTTTCAGTTTTAATGCATAATCATACACTATCCAGGTTTACCTATTTTGTTACATTTTTCCTTAAAGTGTCAAAAAGAAAAAATAAACTTACAAAATAACTTAAAAAAAAAAAGGAACAAAATGTTACTTTGAAAAACATTCCGATTTTTTTTGTTTTAACTTTGCCTTAAACACACACATGATTTTCTGTATAAATACTGAAGTATAAATATGCAGAATTTAGTGGGTACTACACTATAAATAAATACACACAATTTAGTGGGTATTAAAATCCTAGTAAGTCTCCTAATATAACCCTTTGGGGTTAATGCAGTTTTCTCTGTATTTAAATGGCTTAGCCTAGAGTCACTACTCTCAAATGATACTAATCACTTTAATTCCGATTAAAGGGACATGCAGGGCCATTCCAGATAAACTGTCATGTCAGCAGCAACTTCAGTCTCCTAGGAAAGGCTTTGAGATATACTGCTATATCCTGTTTGTGGCTCTAGGGAAATCTTATTTACAGTGTAGCTAATATTTTATCAGAGCAACTTCTTTTTTTTTAAGATTTTATTTATTTATTTGACAGACAGAGATTACAAGTAGGCAGAGAGGCAGGCAGAGAGAGAGGAGGAAGCAGGCTCCCTGCTGAGCAGAGAGCCCAATGTGCGATGTGCAGCTCGATCCCAGGAACCTGGGATCGTGACCTGAGCCAAAGGCAGAGGCTTTAACCTACTGAGCCACCCAGGCGCCCTATTAGAGCAACTTTTAAGATAAAAGTAAATTTAAAGTAAAGTATCTTTAAAAAGAGTATTTAAAGTAAATATCAGAAAGAAAATAAATCTGATTACTTTTTTAAAAATCTGGTTCTTAAAACCTCTCCTCTTGCTCTTTTTTTGATAAATACTGGGTGCTGTGTTAAAATATTAAATTTATCAGAGAAATCCTTAGCAATGTTTTTTTTGTAACCAGTGTAACAATTCCCAAAACACTTTCTCCTTATTCTTTTTTTTCTTTTATTATGAAGACTTTATTTATTTTTTATTTTTTAAAGATTTTATTTACTTTTTTGACAGAGACACAGCGAGAGAGAGGGAACAGAAGCAGGGGGAGTGGGAGAGGGAGAAGCAGTCTTCCCGTGGAGAAGGGAGCCTGATGTGGGGCTCGATCTCAGGACTCTGGGATCATGACCTGAGCCGATGCTTAACGACTGAGCCACCCAGGTGTCCCTCTCCTTATATTCTTGTATGAATGCCATTTAACTTACAATAACTGATTTCCAAAAGAAAAAGTCATCAATTTACTCTTGTTCTTATTGTAAATCCATTTTTTAAAAGTTTTAGCATCTGTATTTCTAGGGTCTCAATTATGAAAAAAATTATGAGTCAGAGTGTTTAAATTGTTTTAGAGGCCATGATTTATTGCACTTAATCTGATTATTTTTTAAAGGCACAGTCTCAAGAAAATTAAAGGAACTTTTGATCTGTAGCTGAAGGAAAAGAAATCACAGTTTTTAATTGTGAATAAAATAATCTTTTGAATGTTTGCAGGGCAGAGTACATAAAGTAACCTACCAACAAACTCTGTAAAATATCAAATAATAAATTGCTGATCATAACTAAAATAATAAGGATTTGATTGAAAAATAATAAGGTTATGCTCCATTTTTATACTCTGTTGTGTTTCTAAGAAGTTTTATTTAAGCCATATTTTGAAAAATAGAATATTGTAAATGTAGGTGTTTTCTACTATTAAGAGGAATCCAAATTTATTTGTAAAGCAGAGTTAATGCCAAAGGTAATTGTTTGCAGATTTGAATTTATTTGAATTGTTTAAAATACCATTTGTATTTGGGGTACCTGGGTGGCTCACTTGGTTAAGCATCTCCTTTCAGCTAAGGTCAGGATCCTGGAACCCTGGGATTGAGCCCAGTGAGTCAGGCACCCTGCTCAGTGGGGAGTCTGCTTCTCCCTCTCCCTCTGCTTCTCCCTCTCCCACTGCCTCTCCCCTGTTCATGCTCTCTCTCTCTCTCCAATAAGTAAATAAAATCTTAAAAAAAATACCACTTGTATTTTTAAAGAGTAAAGCACCATAAGCAGTCTTATGTTAAAGTCAGAAGTGTTGTTATAGCAAGTCTGATCTAGAATAGAAAGAGAACTAGAAAAATGCATGAACTCAATTCTTACAGAATGACACATTTTAGCAGTAGTCCACCAAGAGCTCCAACAAGCAAGTCACAACACTTGAACTATTTTTTAAATATTAATACTTGAGACTGTGACCCAATTTTTATGTTTTAAAAATTTAATTAATACATATTGCTTATGGTATACTTTTTGGTAACTACTCTTACAGTGAAATCAGTGAGACTATTGAGTGCAGTAATGAAAAGCAGAGTTTAAATCCAAGTCCTGTCACTTACTAGGGCTGTGTAATCTCAAAGAAATTGCTTCATTTTTCTATGCCCCAATTTCATGGCCTATCGAAAGGGAAGAAGAGCAGTAACCTCATAAGATGAGTATGCTAATTAAAGTAAGTTAATCTTTATAAAGCACTTAGCATCGTGTCACACTTAGCACTCAGTAACTACTGAATTGTGCTATTATTACTGTTAAAACTCTGGGTTTTATTGTTGAATTCAACAAATGCTAAATTCTCTTTTGTTGGGACTCAATTTAACAAAGTCAAAGGGAATAGAATGAAAATTTCTCATCAGGGCACAGTAATGATTTCTCAACAGTTACCAGACTTACTGTAATATTTTCACTTTCTGGTGCTTTTAACAACAAAAATTGGATGCATAAAAACAAGAATTGATGATATTCCTCATTGAGATAGCAACACAGAGGTTACCTACCTGTGCAGCTCTTCTGTTTTGTCTTCGGTTGGACCTACGATTAGTAAACAATGGCGAAGGACAGCTGCCATGACACGGAACTGATGAGAATCACTCTACAGCAAATAAAAAAGACAAGAGGAAAAATTCGGGATTGAATGCCTTAACGAAGGAGCTTGGTGTATTACTACCTTCCTCGGAGTTATCTTATGGCCCACCTGCCTCCGCCCGCAACAGTCAGTCATTCTTACACCATACATAATAGAAGTCAGGATACTGTAGAAAAAGTTCTCAGCACTAAGTGAATAGTTACTGTTTCATATGAAGAGCTACAACCACCTCCAGAAATGGCTAAAAGCAGATGGTACTGATCTAGCCGCTCCCTTAGGGCATGCTGGGCACAGAGATGCATGACCAACATCCATGCATGTCCCACTCTGTTTTATAGTAAGATTCAATTCACCTAATGATCTTTGCCATTTCCAGAAAGCCTAGACTCTTTTGATAGTATATTGTTCCAGTCTGCTAATTGTTATAAAAGTTTAAATAGATATAATGCTATCAGATATTTTAAGAGCCAGTTATATATCCTTAATGCCTCATTTCTTGATTTTTAAAAGCAATTAAGTTAAAATCTATAATCTATCAACTTTATTTTAATGAATCTTCTTAATCTCCTAGCTTCCCCAAATCTTGCTAATTCCCCTCCAAATTACTGGCAAGTGATGAAAAACAAGTGATCTGAGTTTAATCTCCTATTTTCCCAATGTTTACTCACTCATTGGTATTAAAGACACATAGAGAGTCAGAGAGAAAAAGGCAAGCAGTAGGAAATAAGCTAAGTTATGAGTAATCACTTAGTTTACCTCCTCTTTTTTAGTGAGCTCTTGGGCCACCACAATTTCTTTTGTCACCTGTATCAAAGTCATCTCTCTCTTTGTCCAGATTTTTAATAATTAGAAGACAGGGGCTGCATGGGTGGCTCAGTGGGTTGGGCCTCTGCCTTCAGTTCAGGTCATGATCTCAGGGTCCTGGGATCGAGTCCCGCATCAGGCTCTCTGCTAGGCAGGGAGCCTGCTTCCTCCTCCCTCTCTCTCTCTGCTTGCTTCTCTGCCTACTTGTGATCTCTCTCTGTCAAATAAATAAAATCTTTAAAAAACATAGTAATTAGAAGACAGACAAAATGAGTGATAATTATAATAGAGATCCTGTGTATGCTATACTTCAGGAAGTCACCAATTACTTCAAAAACTATTTAAAAATTCAAAAAACTTTATAAAAAATTTTAAAACTTTAGCATATATTGATCTCAAGTCTGTGTAAAGTGAAATATACTCACATATTATACATATATTCATATATGTTCTTATATTCACATATAGGTGAGAAGATGTGTCTTAAAAAATCTAACAAACAATAGAGCACAATTTCATTACTCATAATGCAGAGGACAGAATTTTAAGCATAAAATTATTATATGTTTATTTGTAAGAGAGGAAGGCCTCAGTGGCACAATGGAAAAAGCACTGCATTTGGGAGTCTAGTGTCTAAGTTGTGACTTTAAACAAGTATTATAGCTTCTATGAGCCAAAGTTTCCCCACAGGCATCTCCATACGTATGTGACTGGTAGGGTCATAAAAGAATTAAAAAGGATGATACACAAGGAAGTGCTTAGCACTTGCAATGGAACATTTGAAGATGAGGGGAATAATGAGGGAGAAAGGAAACAGAAGATAGATCTGAAATGAGTGATAATGAAATAATTGTGTGCTGGGGAAGGAAGAAAGAAAAGGGGAGGAGGAATCAGTGGAATGCCAGAGACATGAAGACTGGCAGGGTTGACCCAGACACTGTGCCATTCGCCGTCCATTTTCAAATGCCTGAAACAAAATTCTCTAATATGTAAATACACATTTACTTACCCCAAATTACATGAAGCACATTGAAACACATGTGAAATTCTTCCATATAACTTGTTTTTGTTGTTTTTTAAGATTTATCCGTTTATTTTAGAAAGACAGAGAGCAAGTGTGAGCAGTGAGCAGGGACAGAGGGAGAGAGAAACTCTGATTCCACACCTAGCCAGAACCCCACACAGGGCCCAATCCCGTGGCCCTGAGATCATAACCCTAGTCAAAACCAAGGGTCTGACGCCCAACTGTCTGTGCCACCCAGGTACTCCTTCCATTTCTTAACTCTTAATAAGATATTTTCCTTGGTTTTGAAAATTAAGTGGGAATGCACTTCCTTTTAAAAGGATTTTAAGAGGCGCCTGGGTGGCTCAGTGGGTTAAAGACTCTACCTTCAGCTCAGGTCATGATCCCGGGGTCCTGGGATCGAGCCCCGCATCGGGCTCCCCGCTCGGTGGGGAGCCTGCTTTCCCCTCTCTCTCTCTGCCTGCCTCTCTGCCTACTTGTGATCTCTGTCAAATAAATAAAATTTAAAAAAAAATTTAAAAAAAGATTTTAAGATTTTCCTTAGGCGCGTGAGTGGCTCAGTCAGTTAAGTGTATGACTCTTGATTTCAGCTCAGGTTATGATCTCAGGGTCAGGAGACCGAGACCTGCGTCGGGTTCTATGCTGAACGAGGAGTCGGCTTGGGATTCTCTCTCTCTTCCCCTTCCCACCCCCACGCACTTGCTCATGCATGCTCTCTCTCAAAACAAAAACAAACACTAGATTTTCCTTTATTCTAGGTATCACAGTTCTCTTCTCACACTGATGTTGATCAGCTTCTTGCAAAACTATCCATTTTGGTCTTCTTACTTGCAACTGTAAACCAAAATCCTACTTCTTTCCATCCCATTTCCTTGTGTCCCAACTTGTGTAACACCAATTCTCAAGTTGTACTTAGGTCTGCAATGCCCTTTTACCATAAATCCATTAAATTCTCTTTATTTCTGTACCCAAAGCAACTGCTGAAATCCATGGATTGTTTCCCCCACTCCTGGCATCACCAATTCCTTTTCATCTCCTAGGTCTCCGCTAGAACATTTTATCAGAGAAGCCTCTTCCTTGTCCACTTAATCTAAGTAGGCTTCTTCCTTCATTATTTTCTATCACTATCTTATTATGATTCCTTTCATAAAATCATAATTTGTAATGCCACACTTGCATTTCCATTGCTTTCTCCACTAATCTGGTAACTTTAGAAGTTTAGAGTGCATATGTTTAATAGGTGTTCAATATTTATTTATTTCTTTATTTAGACAGGGAGAGAGAGAGGAAAGAGAGAGAGGCAGAGGGAGAGGGAGAAAGAGAATCCCAAGTAGGTTCCGCACCCAGTGTGAAGCCCATGTAGGGCTCAATCCTACTGTTCTGAGACCATGATCAGACCGAAACCAAGAGTCCGATGCTCAACTGACTGAGCCACCCAGGTGCCCCAATATTCAATAATTTTTAATGTAAATTATAAGTAAAACAAAAAAGAGATGCAGTCATCAGTGGGCAGCTAGATAAATTTTCACAAAATGAGCACATCCATATAACCAACACAAAAATGATCCAATGTCAAGATCAAGAACTCCAGAATTCCCCTTATGGCCTCTTCAGATGACAGTCGCCTGTTCTTCAAGGGTAATTCTAGTTTCTAACATCACAGGTTAGTGATTTTTGTTGTCATTCAAGTTTGCTTGAATGCAATCATAAAACTTAGGCCCTTTTGCGTCTGGTTGTGAGAGCCGTCCAAGTTGGTATGTGTAGCTAGTCTACACATTTTCATCACTTGTGTTCATTTTCATCACTTGAGAGTAGTGCTATTTGAGGTGCAGTCTGTGGGCCAGTGTCGATCCACACCCTGTTTGCCACTGATCTGCAGTGCCCCCCCGTGCAAAAAGTGTGTGTGAGCATTTAGAGACTCTTCCAGTTTGACAATGTATGTAATATTGTATTATATAAGAGTTTTATTCTGGTAGCTAGGGCAAAAAAGAATCTGGTCCTTCACCACAGTTCGTTTAAGAAGGCACTGCTGAATGCAGTGAATATATTACATTTTACTTATCTATCCTACTCTGGATGGACACTTGGATTGTTTCCAGTTTGGGGCTATATTACGGGTACTTCTGTGAATATGATATCTTACGCCTCATCTGCTGTGTCAAGCTTTAGACTACACTGCCAAATAGTGTTTCAAAGTGTTTATACCAATTTACACTCCCAATAGTTGCTCTACAGTTGCGGCAACACTTGGTATTGTCAGAGTTATAAAATTTAGTCTTCTTTTGGGTGCGCAGTGGTCTCTTATTACGCATTTTCCTGATGACTAATGAAGTTTCCTATGACTACTGGTCATTTGGATACCTCTTTTGTCAAGTGTCTGTTCAAGCCTTTTTGCTGATTTTTTTATTGGGTTGACTCTGTATGGATTTGTAAGGCTTTTTAATGGATTCTGTATAGAGTTCTTTATAGATGTGTTGCAAATAACTCCTCTGTTTTGGTGGCCTGCTTTTTTACTTTCTTCTCTTGATGAGCTCATTTTAATGAAGACCAATTTGTCAACTTTTCCTTTAAAATTTGATTTTTATTTTGTCCTGTTTTGAAATCTTTGCCTACTTAAGAAATGTTTGATAGATAAAGTCATGAAGATAATCTGTTTCCTTCTTAAAGCTTTGTTATTTTACCTTTCATATTTAGGTCCTTATCTATCTCAAATTAATTTTTGTGTATGGCATAAGGTAAGGATTCAAATTAGTTTTTCTTCCATAAAGACATACAATTGATCCAGTACAACTTATTAAAAAGTCCACTCTTTCCCCACTGCACTTCAATATTACCTGTGTCATAAATGAGTTGACTATATATGCGCAGGTTTATTTCTAGACTCTATTCCATTAGTCTGTCTCAGTCAAAGTTTGCTGAATGAATGCTACCATTTAAGAAGTATTATTTAACAAAGGTTAGAGTGGATACTATTTTCTAGTATTGGCTATTCTGCTGTATGACTTTCCATAAGTAATTTAAACTCTGAACTTTCGTGTCCTTTTTTATCAAACGGGGTTAATGCTCTTGTGTCACGAAGATGCTGGAAAGATTAAATATAATTATTCTTTGTAAAATATTCCACAAATACAGTTTATATAACTATAATTTACTTGCTTCATCTTAGTTTTGATATCTT